ATTACAAAAGCAACATCAACTTCTATTTCCTTAATTATACCCAGATTAGTAATTCTTTTAATTATATATTATATAATTTTTGAAATGAATTGTTTTCATATANTTATATAATTTTTGAAATGAATTGTTTTCATATAATTATTGATTTTGATTTTTAATATGTTAAAAGTAATCATTTTGAACCTACTTTTTTTTGTCCTTTAAAGTGAAAGTTTTAATAAAAAATACCTTCTCAGCTTCGCATCGAAGCTAAAAAATGAATTTGTTACCATAACTTATAGTTCAACTTGTAAGTTTTAAATTGACATTACTAATAGAAAAAATGAAAATTTTAAGATTAATATGCAATCAGAAATTATAACTACTATTTACAGTAAATTTATCAGAAAAATTCGATTTTTTTTTCATTTTTATCGTAATAGATAACTGAATATGAAATAATAGTAATCATTTCCTAATAACTTTTAATTATTGATTACAATGTTTTAAGTTTTGAACGCCCCCTATATAAGGGGAAATTGACCAATTTTAATAAAAAGTATGTCAAATGAAAGATGTACTTATAATATATTTAGAAAAAAAAAAAGTTGTGCTGATACTTAAATTTTTCGAAAAGTTATAGCATTTTTAAGTTGAAAATTTTAACACAAAAATAACGTTTTTTTAACTACGGCAGCCGTTTGCACGTAGAAGATAAAGTGACGGGACAACTTTTTTTTTTCATTTTACAGTACATAAAATAAGCTTTAATTTGGTATATGTTTAAAGGACGCAGTATTTCCGGAATATTTTCAAAAAGTTGAAAAAGTTAGTTTATGTAAAAAAGTTGCTATTTTAAATCCCCTCCAGTGAGCAAGTTAAGTGTTAAATTTTCAAAAAAATGATATCAAATAAAAGGGAAATATCTAAGGTTTTAGTATAAAAAAAATTATGTTGATTTGTTGATTTTTAAAAAAGTTATGGAAGTTTTAAGGAAAAAAATTGAAAAAGATGACTAAATTTACCGATTTTTAAAATTGTAATTTTTTTGGTGATTTGTGATTGGAGAGCTGAGAAAATGTAGTAGTGACAGACACAAAAAAAAAATATTAATAAACACATCATGGTAAAATTATTACTGTCTCAGCTTTCCATCGAAGCTAAAAATATATAAAATAATTAAAAATTTGTTTAATTAATTTTTTTCTTCTTTTTCCCTCGACTCTACCGACTATTTGCAAGGCAAAACCGTACTGCACTAAAAACTAACAGATGACTGTAAATTAAAGGTGATTGTGTCATGGATAGTAACAATGCATTAAAAGATATAAAAAAACTTTTATTTTCTATTTTCGGTCGAAAAGAATCGATTTACAACCAGTAAAAATTTAAATAATTAGTTCCCTAACAATTTTAATTATATACAATGTTTTAAACTTAACTAAGTACTAACTACATACATATTACTAGATATTATTATTATAGATTTCATGTAACAATAAATTATACAAAATTATCTATAAAATTAATTTTTTCATAGTTGTAAATAAATTATTAACTACAAATGTGATACTCGCAACACTTTAACGTTTAATAAGCGGTAGCATTTGAAATAATATTATATTATAATCTCATGATATTTTATTATAATTACATATTCATTTTGTTTTATATTGTGAGAGCTTTATCGCCATTATCAATGAAAATAATATGTAACGCATAGCATAACTTTTAAAATACAAATGTTACAAAAAAAAAAATACATAAAATCTAAAATAAGTATCCACGATTAAAGTTATTATAAAATAATATTACAATGCATTGTTTAAAGTAATTAATATAATTATTACTTTAAAATTATGTCTATGATATATATTATATCAGAATTATTAATTTAAAAATCGCGCGATTTTAAAGTGCATTCGGCAGCGGTTGTATTTCATCGATCTTATACGAATGCACAAAAACACAAGGCGATGCACATGCGCGTACTACGACAAAAATGCGGACTGTGATTGAGCATAATTTTTATTCATTTTACTATTGATGCACCGATTCCGAATGACCAATGCGCGCAACGGTTATTTTGAAATGACGGAGAGCGTGGTCGTCACAGATACGTAAAACAACGCTATCTCTGGAGCGTTGAATATGTTTTACGTTCCGTGTGGCGTCCTCTTGATAATAGATAACAGTTTTGGTGGAATGAGAGTCGAGTGGCCAATGACGACGAACAATAAAATTAGCGATAAGCATGAGACAAATTATAAGGCACGTGAACTACGAACTAAAAACTATGAAAACTTTTTACAAATAATAATATTAAACGATATAATTAAATAAAATTAAAACTAAAAAATATTTTTAATGTTATTTAGTTTTTAAATTGATAATATTTTTAATGTAGTTTTAATTTGTTTTAATTAGTTTTAATTAATTAGCTACAAGTGATCAAATTTTTTTATATTAAATGATATAATTTATATTTGTTTGATCAAAAATCTGTAAGACAAATATTTCACATTGTTCGGGTCCTACCGTATTTTAAACGTTTATCTGTAATAATTGCTATTTGTTAGTTAATAATGACAGTTGGATCATCTCGCTAAGTCATATTTATGTTTTGGAATTGTCACGTACCGGTGTCCCTTCAAATAGTATTCTGTAATTTTTTTACTGTCCTTCTTCTTCTTTTTCTCAACCTTTACCCTAACTATACAGGGTGATTTTTTTATCATAACCCACTCAATTACTTACAAAATAATAATAATTTAAAATTTTTTTTTTATTATTATCTTTAGTTACACATTATTCTTGAATTATTAACTATGTAATACTTTTTAAGTTCGTCCCTTATGCCTGGTAAGGGTGTCAACTTTGTTTTTTTAAATGGTAACACATATTTTTAATTTAATAAAATGTTTGAGTTTTTAATTCAATAATAAATGGCATTTGAATTTTTAATAAAACTTAATTTGTTTATTAGATATAAACATTTAAAGTTTCAAATTTTTGAGTTAATATATAGGTATAATACACAAGGGATTACAAATACAGGTAGCTAATTGATTTTTTATGACATCGATATTAGCAGGTACACAGCATTGTTATTATCAATGATAGTAAGGTACATTGTTGTGAGTTTATAAATACACTAACTGACAATACAAAAAGTATATTTATTGATAGTCATAATTTATAATAAACAATCCGTGAATGTGATAGCAATATCATAAAAAACCAATTAGCTACCTATATTTGTAATCCCTTGTGTATTATACCTATATATTAACTCAAAAATTTGAAACTTTAAATGTTTATATCTAATAAACAAATTAAGTTTTATTAAAAATTCAAATGCCATTTATTATTGAATTAAAAACTCAAACATTTTATTAAATTAAAAATATGTGTTACCATTTAAAAAAACAAAGTTGACACCCTTACCAGGGATAAGGGACAAACTTAAAAAATATTACACCCAGAGAAAAACCTCGATCTATATAATAAATTCATTGTTCAATTTGATAAATATATCATTACTATTGAATCAATGATATATTTATCAATATGATATTTTTTTTTCTTGTCTTGAACAATAATTATTTATAAGAATAGTTATTTTGTTCGTATTAATAAAACATTATCATAAACCCTTGATAAAATTTCTCTTTCAATTTTGATTGAGGTTTTTCTTTGGGTGTACATAGTTAATAATTCAAGAATAATGTGTAACTAAAGATAATAATAAAAAAAAATTTTAAATTATTATTATTTTGTAAGTAATTGAGTGGGTTATGATAAAAAAATCACCCTGTATAGGGTTGGTAGCCCTTATCTTAAACTTCCACTTGACTTTAAAATCATCTATGCACATATCAACCATCCTCGTATCGCATTCAATAACATCTCTCCATCTTTTTTTCGGTCTTTCTCGAACTCTTTATCTTTCCTATTAATACTGAATCTTTAGCAAACAACATGCAGCACAAAACCTCTCCTCGTATTTGTCTAATAATTTCATACAACACTATTGAAAATAAGTGAAGGTTTAAAGCAGAACCTTGGTGCACTCCTACTCTTACTCTAAAATCTTTTATTATTCTTCTCACACTTTTTACCCTGGTAGAAGTGTCATCATATCCTCGTATATATCGTCTAATATATTAATGTACTATTTTGGGATGCTTTTACTCGTTAATACGAATGTTAAAATCACTCTCAGTACTCTATCATATGCTTTCTCCAAATCTATTCATTCCACATACCGCTTTTTTTTATTTTCCCTATACTTTTCTATTATTTATCTTACATAAACAACAAATTAGCTTCATCACTGAATTTCCAGAAAAAAACGCCTAACTGGTTCTTTTTTGTTTCTTATCTTTTTCTTTTGTCTATTATCTTTTCCCAAAACTTCATACTATGACTCATATGGTTTATTTTTCCATAATTTCCACATTGCTATATGTCTCCTTTGCCTTAAAATATCGATATCCTAATACTATTACTCCATTCTTTTGACAGTTTCATTTTTTGGAGGGGAGAGTAAACACTGTCCAGTTTTTATTTCTACAAATTTTAAGAGTATGGCTCTCAAATTTTTTATCCGAAAATGAAATTTTGTTTTCATTTTCACTTAGGGTTGAACGCTGTATATTACTAATGCTTATTCATTTTGAAAACACTTAAATTTGACTGGCGTTACCCTGACATAGATGTAATGCTTAAAACATATTAAAACTTATTTAAAATACATAAGAAATACAAATTTAGTATAATACAATTACATAAATAAATATAAAATACATTTGTGAATAATTTTGAATGCATATAGTTTTTTATTTCCATATAGGCTAAACTAATTTATGATAATTTTATTTAAATTAAATCTAATATGGAGGACTGGTGTTTTTAATTAGATAATTTTTTTGTTGAAGCTTGAGAGTTGATTAATGACCAAATTTTTTAAAGCTAAATTCAAAACAACGATTTCCTATTAATTTTATACAAACAGGTAGAATAAATAACAAATATTTTTACAAATTAAATGAATACTAAAATATTAATTAGACAGAATTAATGAATAGTTTAGTAAAATTATCACGCATAGAAATTTGTTCGTCAACATTTAGATTTTTCCGGATGTAATAAGTTTTTAACATGTCTTTTTCGTTTTCACTTAGGGTTGAACGCCATAGCTTACTCTTGTTTATTAATTCCATTTTTATATATTTGAAAGATGGTCTAGAGCTTCTTAAATAGCGCCGTAACTCTAAAAGTTCTCTATGAGGATATCCATCAGACATAATATTATCAAGGTCGACTAACATTTTATCATCCGGATAATTTCCTGGTAAAAGATAATAATATCGTGCCATCAATTCTCTATCTGAAATTTTACCATGTAAATTTATTTCACGAAGATATAACTGTTCAGTAAATATTTTATGAAGTATAATTTGTGGAATATCAGACAATTTAAAGTGTAGTTCTTCGTTAGAATTATCATCACTTGCAGAAGACTCAAAATAATCAGAAATTATTTCACTGTTAGAATTTGTTTCATCCATAGAATCGTTTCCATTCAAAGCATCACTCTCATTATCAGAATCATAGTTACTATTAGAATCACATTCATCATTAGAACCATTTCCATTACTAGAACTATCTTCATTATTAGAATAATTTTCTTGAGAATCGTTTCCATTACTAGATTTTTCCTCATTATTAGAATAATTTTCGCTAGCAGAACTATTTTCATTATTTGAGTTTCTTTCATTATCAGAAGTTATTTCATTGGTAGAATTTTTTTCATCCATAGAATCATTTTCATTTAAAGAATCACATTCATGATTAGAACCATTTCTATTACTAGAAATTTCTTCATTATTAGAATAATTTTCTTGAGAATCGTTTCCATTACTAGAATTTTCATCATTATTAAAATAATTTTCGTCAACAGAAGCATTTTCATTGTTTGAGTTTCTTTCATCAGCAGAAATCAGCTCATGAACATCAGAAAATTCTTCATCATGATTTTCCAATTCTTCGTCATGATTACTTTCCAAATCAGTTACATCTCCCATTTCACTAGATTTTTCATCGGAGTTTATTTCACTTCCATCATCACTTTTATCTGATTCATTAAGTATAGCTGAAATTAAAATTTTATTACTAGATCGTTGCTTTAAGCCAAAAATGTTATACTATTTATGTTGTACTACATAAATTATATATAAAAAAAAATTATCATACTTCATTATTACATTAAATATTATTTATTTGAAAACCTTAACAAGATTTTTAAATTTTTTACGGGGTTTTTCAACATGTTCTGACAAGTCCCATAACTTTTGATATAGCCCATATTTTTCAATCATTTATTTAAAATAATTTTTATACTTTTTGAATATAATAATATCATAATTTATAATATTTAACTATATATATACATAAAAAAAAAAATTTTATTAATTTACAAAAAATGTATAACGTGACAAAAAAGTGTCCTTTTGCTTGAACACCACTAATACACTGTCGATCAAATTAATTTGTCCACTTGTTGATAAACATACATTTAAACTTTTTTTATTAACTCCTGGCACAGAATAATGTATGAATCATCACCGAACTGTCAATATTCAGGTAGTGAGTCTGATTGGGTAAAACTAGTATCAGGACTGCCCGTTTCTACTTCCATCCATAGTGAATTTTTGACGAGTGCGTTGCACATATTTGTTTAATTATTAATTTCCGCCAATATATATTATACAACTTTAATTATTTTTAAAGCATCGGCTGAACCTAGACTGATAATGTAATCAATGTATTTTATTAAATTTAAATTATGGGCAATTATTCAAACAAAAACAATTTTGTAGTAAAAAATTCAATGAATAAATTAAGTAATAATTTATACAATCGTAAAATATCTTTGATATTGGTTCATCATAAATGAAAATTAATATTAAATAACTGTGTGTCTCATGAAATATCTATGAAGATATTAAAACTAATATTTTATTTTAATTTACTGCTATCATACTCAAAATTCGTATCAACTTCCGATTTTCAAATGGCAACCCCAACTTTATTTTATATCATCATATTTTTTTAATTGAAATTTTTAATTTTTTATAGTATTTAATTTTTAAAAAGTTAAAATTGTTTAAAATTTAGAAGCGTCCAGACTAAAGCGTATTTATTTAAAAAAAGATGCTACCGGTTTATAAAAATACGATAAGCTATATTCACTAACATGATGTTATAAACCGGTTACACTTATTAATTTATGGATCTACCATTTTTTTAAAAATAAATACGCTCTTATTCTAAACGACTCCAAACTTTAAACATTAAACAGCTTTATAACGTTAAAAATCGAATAATATAAAAAAAATTCTTAAACAAAACATTTATTTCAGTTGAATAAAATTGATGATATAATAAAAAATGGAATGCTATTTGAAAATCTAAGGATGATACTAATATAAAGCATAAGGGATAAAAAAAAAATCAATTTTTAATGTATAGCAGCTCAATAAAGAACCATTACTGTTAAAAATAAAATAATGATTAATTTTAAAACTTTTGAAGATATTTTGTTCAGGAATCACTTTTGTTTATTCATCACACTAAGTATTTGGCATATTTCATTTAATGATGGTTTTAAATAAATAAAACTTACTTAAGTTATATAAATCCACAATATCACTCCTGCATATTGGACACGTCGATTTTGAATTTATTAAACGATTTCCACAAGAATTACCTATTAAATGGTTACATGGTTTGATAGTAACAATAGGTAACTCTTCAAGACATACAGAACATTTTTCTAAAATTAAAATATATTAATAAATAAATTCTATTAAAAAATTTAGATATCAGGTTGGAACAGATCTTATTGATAATTATAAATTATGTTATTGAAAGGTTACACATATTATAAAAAAAAAATCGAAGGAATTGACCGATTTCTTTAAATGATAAGTAAAAAGATCACACATCATATCTAGTCAAAGATATTACCCTCAAAAATTTAAAAAATTTCCCTCGTTCCCCGTAAATGGGGGAAACCTCCAAAAAAATTACAAGTTTAAAAATAGCTAATTTTCGAAATTTTCGAAATTTTTTTTACTTAAAAGTATTTTTTCAAAAATAACTAAATCAATATAATTCTTTTTTTTATGGATGTATAATGTCTTTAACTATCATTCGGTATATTTTTTTATAAATCTGACCCTTTACCTGCCTACAGGGAGTATCCAAATGACAACTTTTTCACAAAAAAATATCTTTTTCAACTTAACTTTTGAAATTGTTCCAGAATGTCTGACACTTTTATATATATCTTAAATAAAATCTAATGTAATGTACTTTATTATGGAAAAAAAAAAATTCGAACTTTACTTTGTCTTCATGGTGAAAATGGCTACCGAAAGCTATTTTTGTGTGAAAATTCTCGAATTTATTTTTTATATTTTTAACTTTATAATGCTATAACTTATTGAAAAGTGTATGGATCAATTCAATTTTTTTATTAGAAATAATATTTCTTAATAATTCCTTTTTCATTCGACATACTTTATCTTAATCAGGATATTAATAAGGAACTAGCAGAAGTTGTAGTTTTTGGAATAATCCACCAATTTTTTAAAATTAAACACTATCTAAAGATTTGCATCAAAGGGTTTTTTTTTATAGTGATTTTAATCACTGTCACTACTGTGCCGTGACCCCATTGTGCTGGGTTTTTTTACATCTATGACTAGTGATATTATATTTTAAGTCGCATACCCACCACCAGCCACTATGTGTACAGTATGTACCAAACACACGTATTCATTCAATGTTTTAAGATGGTTGTAACTTAATAAATACTTAAACTCAAATTGTTATCAACTTAACAAAATAAAAAATAATAATTTCATTGTTAAAAATAAATAAGAAAATATTCTTTTAAAAAAGTTTAAGAATGTGAAATTCAAAAAAAAAAATTACAGCAAAATTTTAATTAAATAAAAAATTTAAAGACTGTGTCAGTTAAATTTGTTCCATTCTGTATATATAATAAAAACAAATTTATAATATCTATTTTTATTATTTAAATCAGTAATTTACGAGTATGTCGGAATTGTCCGACTTAAAAAAATGTACAGTTTTATCACGCATTTTATAATTTTTTGAAATATTCTGAAATATAAATTATTATTATATATTTTGAAATATAATCTGATAATGATTTATCTTTCATTAAACTCTGGAGTATGGAAATAATTTTTCACGAGTTTATCAAACAAATCTGATTTTAATAGTAGTTTACAAAACTCATAATTTTAAGTTAAATATGTACATATTTAACGATGAGTTATCGTTCTGTATTATTTGTTTTACATAAAAATTTGAATACGTACCTTTATCTACAATTAATTGATTACATAAAGGGCAATATGATGTATTTATATCAAATTTATCACTGCAAAAATTTCCAATATCATGACCACAAGGCTTAAGAACCATAGTTGAACGTTCATTACCACAAGAAAGGCATTTTCTTACAGCTAAGAAAAATAATTATAATGACACAAATGTATAATATGCTGTATCTAAAGTGTTTAAGATGTAATTGACAACCCTTAAGATTTTTTATTTAATATTAATTTTGTTTACAATTATTGCCTTCTTAACTATATTCATAGCATAATTTTATTATTTATTATTAATAAGAAAAAATTTAAATTAAATATTCATTTCTTTTTTTTTTCAATTAAGCTTAATTTGAAAAACCTTTTTGTTTTTTTTAATTTTGCTACAATATTTTCAACATAGAATAATTTTACGTAAAATAGGTTAAATTGGCAACTTTTAAGTTAGAAAGTATATCAAATTTTTACATGTTAAAGGCCATTTATTGATAAAATAAAAATGAAAATTCTTTTTATGAAAATTTAGTTAATATAAAACTTACTTTGATCGTCCAATTCAAGTATTTCTGTATTACATAATGGACATTGTACAAAGTTTTGAATAATTTCTTGAGAACAGTATTTACAGAATGCATGATCACATGGTCTTAAAATTATTTTCATAGGTAATTTGCAATTGCAACAAACGTCGTTCTTTTCTAATGATATTATCTTTACGTGAATGATTATTAAATTACGTAATATAAAAAATTAAGAAGCTACCTAGAAAATGTACCAAGTCACAAAAACTATAATTTATAAAAGAAAAAACAGTTTCCACATGAACTTATGGCAAGCGTCTTTATTTTTTAACATCATTTTTAATGTATACATAAATTTCATTTCATTTTTTCGTTAAATTATTAGGATCATTATCCATTATGTTTTTATTATGTTAAAAAGTATTTTGCACATAGTACAATCGTCTCTTAATTATAATCAATATTAGTAATTATCATGTTACATAGATTATACAATGTTTAGCTATATAAATTAGACGAGTTTACTAATATTTTAATAGCTAACTTATTATAAATAATATATTTCAGTAATTTCATGCAAATTCACCTAAAATTTGAGCTAGTAGTTATTTTATTTCTGTTGGGTAGAGTGTGGCACTCGTGTATGACCGGTTCGAACGTGTTCATGTTACGTCCAGGCGTCGTTACTTACTCCGCGAGCGACACAACCTTTTTGGTACGTATGCAGTACACTAGTTTTCGCGACTCTAAGATCTAATAGTCGTTCCTCAACAATTATCTAGTGCGTTATCTTCTCTCGTATTCACAGCAAACGCCTCCGCGTGTTTGTGCTATTGATCGGCCATAGTTCGCCATGTCTTTATTGTTTTTGCTCATACGGTTGCGTCTTGGCCGAACTTGTAAACTCCAGACGCACGAGGTTTTTTTTTTGTGTACATGTTTTGTACTGTATATCCGTGTAAAACAACCCTTCTCGCATATTACGGGTTAGTGGCTTCGTTCACGTCGTCATCAACGCTCATATACAGTCCACACTCACCGCCATTAATCACCATCTTAAATTATACAGCTAAGTTTTTAATTGTTTGTTTTATTTATTTTATATATTGTTCATAGCCGCTTTGTCGGTCAGTCTAGTACGTAAGTTACCCCCCTTTCCCTTTATTTATTAAGAGTTTTTAATTTGCAGAATTGTAATATATAGATGCGTATTTTGTACATTCATAAGCGGGTGTACCTATTTTCTTATCCCTTCTTATTTTCCTTTATTTATCGTTTTGTTTGCTACAAAATAAACAACGCTACCACACAGTAACAGGCCATTCCCCTTTAATGTTAAGAGGCTGCTTGTCACAATTTCTTTAAAATTTTTAGCTTCAACGCGAAGCTGAGAACGTATTAATTTTACTAATATTTTATCCTATTAAGTATTGTATACAAAACTATTATTAATATTAACTAGAGTTTATAGCAAAATCTTTTTGCTTATTTTTCAATACCCTATAGACATTTTATGACATGTAGAAATTAAGATTATCACATACCCAAATCTTCCAAATCTGTTCCGGTTGATAAATTTTTATTGATTAAGCCAAATATGTCTTTTGCGTATTTCATAACATTCGATTTACACAATTTTGGTAAATTTACACCTGGCATATTCGATAAAGTTATAATTTTTAATTAGCAATTTTTAACTTGTTTATAATTTATTATTTTGTTGTGTACTATTTTAAAAAGATTTTTTTAATAATTAGCACAAAATTCAACGGGGATATCATAAAAACTTAGGTTTTATACATTCATTATTATATAATGATAGAATGATGGAGAATAATTGCAAAACAAATCATAATATTTTAAACAAGTACAAATTATTTTATAACATTCAGCTTGGTTGTGAAGTGTTTACGAAAAAAGTAGTTAATCACTGATAAATTTAATTTAGATAAAATCTTAGGTATTTTATAAAACAATATAATTTAAATTTTTGACATACCGTTTACATTGACAAGATATATTATCAAAAATATAGATGACATGTTTAATATATTCTGAAACATTTCCATATTAATAAAATATAAACTATTCTACAAAAATTAATTAATTTAGTTATATTTATTTAATATATTTATATATTTCGCATTACATTTGTTTAACTAATTCCACACATAAGTGTACTCTTAAGTGTTAAGTGTTTTTTAGTAATTTTATCGGTCTGAATTCTACAAACATTAAAATAATGTGATTGATTTAATCTTAAGATATTAAATGCTTTACATATGTCTAACCAAATCTAAAACATGATATTTTTATCTAGTAAATAGACTTCTAAGAAAATAAAATAAAAAATAGAAGAAGAAGTCATTAGAATTCATAAGTTGATTAAAATACAAATATTTTTGTTAATATTAAATATAATAATAATAATAATAATTGCCCAAATCATTAGGTATATGATTATATAGAATAAAAAATGACTCACCATAGTTCTATAACTATATTGAGCGAAATTTTTATTATTATTCTCGTATTATGAAACAACCTGTCTTAACTCAAGCTAGTAATCAGAATTATAAATTAACTAGTTATATAGAATTTTATTTTATTTAGTAACTTTAATGAGTCTACCACTAAAATTTTAGCACTTTGTAAAAATGTTTTAAAAATTTTAATCGATTTTATTGTTTTATTTTTAACAAATTAAACAATTTTAACAATAGGTTTCATCGTTTACGTCATTAGATTTTATCGTTTATAGATTTAGTCAACTAATGTAAAAAGTTGCTTCATAAAAATATTAACAAAATTTGGAAACTACAACAACATATAATAATATATTTAAATGTAATTTAATTTAATTAACAGACAACATTTACATATATTATATATTTAATTAAATTCCTAATTAATGTTTAAAAATACATTTGATTTAAAAGATCATTTTTATTTCTGAAAAATGTTTGAATAAGAAATTGATAGTAGAACATGTTAATAATAATATATTTATATCAAATATTATGATTAACAAATTTTTTTATCTAAATTTGTAGAAATAAATTTTTATTATTATTAATTTCAAATATCATTTCAGTCCAATTGTCTTAAACCATAAAACAATTGGATCAATAACCTCAGTATTAACTAAAATTTTAAAAGTCGATTTATTAATATTTAGAAATGTTGCTAAAAATATCACCAAAAAAATTTCTTTGATATTATTTTATTTTGCGAGTATTTGGGTAATTTTAGATAAGTTAATTAAAATATACTATAGGAGATATATTTTAATTTTTTTTATGGTTAAAAAATATGATATTGTATAATTTTTTCAATTAAAAATTATTTTCTACTCAGCTGAGTTTCATTGAATTGCTAGTGTTCAAAAAAAGGAACTCTACATTGTAGAGTTTAATATGCCAAACCTATTGATATACATCTGTATTATAGAATCTATAGAACAGCATATTTACATACCTGAAATTCTAATTTTTTTACACTTAACTATACAAAACATGTGTGAAATTGTTTACAATATACCCCATAAATTAGGCAATATGTCATAAAAACTTATGATTTCAGTTATTTATTGCGAATTGTAAGCAGATATTATTTTATTTCAATAACAAATTTTAACGAAACATTGAATTTCCTATGTTAGTAGAAAGTATTTTTATTTAATTTTTTACCTTCGATGCCAAGCTGAGAAAATATTAATTTTACTATGATGAATTTTTTTTTTTGTCTGTTACCACTTTTTCTCAGCTCTCACCGAACCGATTTCTTTCAACGATACGTCAATAGATCATAATCGTATCAAGTCGAAGACGTTATCCTCAACAATTGAAAAAAATTCCCTCATTTCCCGTAAGTGGAGGAAATTTCCAAAAAATTACATATTTAAAAATCGCTAATTTTCGACATTTTTTTCAATTTTTTTTACTTAAACCTGCCATAAAAGTAACAATTACTTTATAATTTTTTATAAATTCTCCGAAAAAATTACAATACTAAAATATTAAATATTAATCTCATACTATATTTAAATTCTATTATAAATATTTATTATACTTATACATCGAAAAACTACTAATCAGGAATAATAAAGAAAATAGGAATTCATTTTGCTTTTGGTTTAATCCACCAACTGCTTAAAATTAAACACTATCTACAGCTTTGCATGGAAGCGTTTCTTATGATAATTATATTTCTATAACTTTTTTAAAATGTATTGATCATTACAATTTTTTTATAATAAGTACTTTTTATATACTTCTTTTATGCGACATACTTTTTTTTTTAAATTGGACCATTTTCCTTCATAAAGGGGGGGTTCAAAACTTAAAAATGAATATAGAAAGTAAAACTTTTTAAACTTAATTTTAATTAATAGATATTTTTTGATTATTCATACGTAATCTAATAATCAAACACAAATATTTGTTATATTAATTAGAAGGATTTTGTTATTATCTAGGCTACATGCGAAACTCTAATTGCAGATTTGAAATCGGCACAAAAATGGGTTTAAGAAAGTATATTTTGGTCTCGTATGAAAATTCCTTGTAGACCAGTAAATTTTTTTATAACTAACAAACAATTTTTTTTTTAAGTATTGCATCAAGACCATGATGTACGTTTGCCATAAAAGTAATAACTACTTAACAATTTTTTATAATTTCTCCATAAAAATTGCAATACTAAATTACTAAATATTAATTTCATACTATATTTAATTGATATCATAAATATTTATTTATATTTTACACTTATAAATCATAAAATTAGATATCAGGATGTAAATAAGGAAATAGGAGATCATGTTGCTTTTGGAATAATCCACCAAATTTTTGAAATTAAATACTATCTACAGATTGGCATGGAAGCGTTTTTTATGATAGAGATTTTAATTAATGTCAGATTTCATCTATACTGGACTCAACTATGCTACGACCCCACTATGCTGGGGTTTTTTTTTTGTACATCGTGGTTTTATATTAAATCTATTTTATATTACTTATTTAATTTTAAAATTATTTCACTTCAATTATAATAAAATGTTTTTCTAACCTTAACATACTAATTTTATGTTGATTCGTGATTTTTCAATGGAGAATCTGTAAAAGAGTACTTTATGAAAATTTGACTTGATTAATAATTTCCTGTAATAATACTAGAAACTTGAAATTGTATTTATCTAAGATATTGATACTATATATTCATTGATGAATTTTTATTCAAAAAATATTAAGTTTTTAATTGTTAAAATAAGTATGTTAATCTATTATTGTTTTATTTGCATCAAATATTTTTAAAACTTAAACCTAATGATCAAAAAACTCAGTAAATGAATACGCGTAACTGCTTGATAAAGATTTTTGACGCTAAATTCAAATGGATCATTCGAAAATTTTGAATTTAAAACAATTACTACTTTTAGTTGCAACTCGCATTCCAAGTACATTGCTGTATTTGGACTAATAACCAACCAAATTTCATTTTTACTCAATAAAGTTGATAATGTACCAAACCAGTGGAGCATCCTGGACACTATTGATCCACTATAAGAAAATGACAAGCGAAAATTACAAGTAATATAGTCGACATAATATAAATGTCCAACTTAGAAGTGATGATATATTTTTAAGTTACAATTAACAGTTCTCAACAATAATTGCGCAGATGGGTTGGTACAATACCGTGTGATAGTGTTTACCAGGTTTTTGTTTTTGTGCATTTGAGTGATTAAGTTACAATTGGGTTGTCTGCAGCTATATATCACAAGCTAATTCATTCAATCGCTATGAGACGCATGTTGAATGGATAATGAAAAATATATAATTGAGCAGTATTTCAAATTTTATAATTTGCTAAAAGTTAGTTATAGTAGTTTTGACTATTATTAAAATATGAAATTTGACTATATTTCAGTGTTAAATTTTTATCAACATACATAACATCAATTTCAATTTATCTCTTGGAATAAAATTTATTTCAGCAACTGTAAAATTTTGCATAATCATAAAAAAGTGACAGTACTTTCAATTCGGTATATTTTATTTAATTTTTAATACATTTAATTATTTTTACAATAAAAATTGTTTTTGAGGCAGTTATTAATCGTCATGTTTTGGCCAAAGAAAATCGACAGCCACTTAGAATCAAATTTGAAACGATGGATATAATTCAAGGTTTTAATAATTCAATAATATTCTATTAGTAGCAATTGTGTGCAGAGATAAAATTGAAATGGAAGAGATAACTAAACAAAGAATCGGATATTTTTTGATTAAAAAAAACATATGGTCACATATCCTCAAAAAACTAATAAGGAATTCAATTATTACTATTAAATGCTATACAATTCATATCAGAGCTATTTTGAGTTCTAGTTAGGTAATATATTTTTTTGACAAAGTAATATATTATGATTTTATTTTTGTAGGCATAAATACACGAAGACTAATATTTAAGTACAAAATATGATTAAAAATATTTAAAAAACTCTAATATTTTTTATTATTTTTTTTAGTAGAATAAAGATATATACTGAAAACAAAATATACAATAATTACTTATGATAAAAAAATATATGTATTATTATATACAAATAATTATATTATATATATGCAGAACTTTGAAAAAAAAAACTATAACTTGTGCAGAGGCGTCCAGTGATGGCACTCAAATCGACTTGGGTAATTTATTATATTAAAGAGCTATTATAACAATTAATTTTATAATTGTTGTAGATCCCTACTCTAAGACCTTTTTAAGCAACGTGGAGGATTATAATATTTTTTCTGAGAGAATTTTACTGATTTTATAGATCTTACTATACAAATAAACGTAATATGTAATATGTAATAATATATATGCAAATAAAATAAATGCTAAAAAAATATATGCATTAAATTGTTTTAAATTTATTTTAATTAAAAATAAAAATAAATAAGATATTTGATTAATAAAAAAATTTGTTTTTTTATAGACATTCTAATAAATTGTGATTTTTTTTTAAATATAGTAGTAATAGTGAAATAACTACTATTAATTTGTTATACTAATATTAAAATAATTATTATGTAATAGATATTTAGCACTTATAATTTTATTTTATTTATATTTTTATAATAATGATTTTTTTTAATAAACCGCATTATAATGAGAGATGATAGATATAAAAACACCAATGTATGTATGAAATATAACGCAAATTAGTAGAACAATAGATTGCGCATAGATCTCTCTAAATTAATTACCTAGCCAATGAGAAGCATTGTGCAAATTAAACTAATTCTCCCCCTCATAAAACAGGCCTATAAAAGAGCAATTTCTAGCTCATTCATCACCTTATTTTTTTATAAAAATCTGGTCATGAAGCGTTTCTGTACCAGACTGTTTCGCGATGTGCTCTCTCTATGACTTAGAATCTTTTTCATACTTGGTGTTTATTATTTAAATCTCTCATTTTTAATGTCATTTTAAAAAAATAACTTAACCTTTTTATCTTTTTATTTTTAGTTTTAAATATTTATAAAATATTAAAACAAATTAAATTTTTATTTTGTATTTTATGAGTTGTGTCAATTAAGAATTTTTTTTGATTCTTTAATTGGATTGTCTATTCAATAAGCGCATTTCGAAAATCTACCTTAGCACATCAAGTGGTTAAAACTGTTGGTAAAACAATGGTTTATGGCGTGTCACTAAGGAGATCGTAGAGTGTATCTTAAATTTGAATAGATAAGTGTTTGATTGATTGCATAAGGTGCTGATAGTTTGTTGAAATCATTACCCTAGCACATCAAGTGGTTAAAACTGTTGGTAAAACAATAGTTTATGACGTGTCACTAGGGATTGATTCTCATATTCTGTCACGCTCTTTTCGGCAAGTAGTTTTAGACTCTGTAAGGTCCGTGCATCGACGAGTATATCTCCGATGGTGTAGCCAGCCTGTCTCTAACTCTGTCGACTCTCATATCAAACACACAATTCTATAAAATACTAATAGTTTATTGAAGTCATTACCCTAGCACATCAAGTGGTTAAAACTATTCGTAAAACAATAGTTTATGACGTGTCACTAGGGATTGGTTCTCATAAGCTATCTGATTATAATTTTTCATTTTAAAATATAAAGTAACACATATACTCAGACACCAAGTATAAAAAGGAATTACAGTGAAGTAATATTTCAAATTTAATAATTTGCATAATTTTACAAAAATTAATAAGTAAATAAAAGTCAGTACTCTCTTTTATTTATATTCTTTTTACAACAAACGATCAAACTAGCCGGACACAAGGTAAGAAATTATATTTCTAAGCATGTCATAAAATTAAGGGTAGACTTAAGATAAATCAAGAATAACTTTTATCGAGGGAATAATAGAATTGTTAAAGGTGGATAATTTGAAAAGTTATTAATAACTACTTTCTCACCATTCGGGTCATAATAGTGCGCGTTCAACGTAGATGTTTTAACTTGTATTATACAATTACATAAAGAAAATAATTCAGCCATTAAGGCTTGGCGCCCAACAATTGGACAGTAGCATCTTACATGAACACACGCTGTTTCCCATTCATATAGCATGACCAATAAATATTAAGAGTCGTAAAATCCTCCTCCGTAATCATTGCACATTTCATTGTAGAATTAATATGACTCAGGTGTGAATCATCCGAATATAATTTTCCTTCAATTTACTTTTTACGACAAACTACGCGCAGTGGTAGTATCTTAATAAAGAGTTCATGGATATATATATATATTGTATGCTATATTTTCACCTTGTAGCTAAACGCACTTCAACAATCCGTTAACCATAACATCTATATATAATATCTACATTCTATTATTATTCCTCTTTCTTAATTATAAAAAATATAAATATCACACATATGGCCGCTTATTTTATTTCCTTCATCATCCTTCATTATAATAATTTCTCTTCATTCTTTTTATTATTATAATTAATATCCTTGTCCTTATATTTTTTTTTTATGACAAAAACACCCTTATATCCATCTCTATTATTTTTTTTTTATGACAATTAGTTTTTAAATTTAATCAATGATAGTTACTTATAATATTAGTGGCCTATCTAGCTCATTTGGTAACGTAAGTAAGTACAGGTGTTTGATTCGGTTGCACTGGGCTACGTAGATTACCCCATCCTCTTTAACACAATCAATAGTTTTTATAGATGACGTTAAACATAATTTAATTTAATAATAATAATCGTAAGTATAAATTAATCTGACATTTTATTTATGAAAACTATGATTTGCTTATCAATTTGTGTTTTGATACTTTGCTATATAACCATGTTAAAAAAGTAGCTTTCGGTTGATTTTTAATTACATCCAATAAATCTTACTTTCATTCTACACATTCATTTCATGTAGCTTTTAAATTTTATTGGTTGGTTATAAAAATCCGTCTTCTATTCAGTAGTTTAATTTCACAAACACCGTTGATTATATTATATTGAGTGACAGATGATGTTTAGCGTCATTGCTATACTCACCCCCTTGCCCATCCAGCACGGAAAATCGATGGCCTCCGTGTCAATTGTCATCCGTGTATAGTTCATCGTCATAGTTCAGTGAGTGAATTGTTTTATGTGTCATCTTCTTTGTAGCAAACGCCTTCGCTTAAATGGTAAATTGTTCGGCCGTTGTACGCCGTCTTATTATTTGTTAAATGCACGCTACCAGTGATTAGGCCCTGACCATCACAAAATAACTTCATTGCCGTAGTCGCTTTTCCGCCGTCTGTTTTCATCTGCCATTACGTGCCTGGATCTACACTCTGACTAGTGATACTCAGATGTTAGACACCATTGTCACAAGATCTCATACAATCCACTAATCACTATCAACAACTTTATCTGATCAGCTGAGTTTTATATTAATTGTTTTAATTGAGTTTAACTATTATGTTTAATGCCTCCAAATAGTATTAGTATTTAAGGGCCCCCGTTACCCCTTAAATTTAAGATACTCTTTGAAGAACTTCTAATGTATGTGGTTATTTTTTATTTAATTATTGTCTACTTACGCTACTTATTGGATGTGAGGTTATCAGACATCCTCCCAGGTGACCCCTCTCCTTCTTCAGTAATAGTCATTAAAACAAACATTCTAGTGTGGTGCACAACTAGCCGTCCTCAATCTAGATGCTTCGTACGAAACAACGTTAAAACAAGCAACGGCGCCGGAATCATGAGCGTGTGGTTAGCTCCAACCCCGCGGTACGAAACTTCGGCGTGTGGAACATGATTTGGACGAAAGCACTCAAGTAGCAAGTGACCCCTTGGTTTTAATACTATAGTACACGGCAAAATAATTGATATAATGAATAATAAAAACATAATTTATAAATTTGATGTGAAACAGAAAGATTAGTAACGTTACATACGAATATCGTATTTTAAAATGTATGGACTCATCATCATCATCATCTATTAAAGGCAACTCCTTGTCGTTGAAGCCACTCTTCTCTGTTTGACGCCAAATTCTTCAGTAAAACAAAAGACGCACATATCATGAGTTCCAGGATATTTTCAAAATATTATTTCCTTGGACGTCCTCTTGGTTTCTTCCCAGTTATTTTCCCTTCGAATATGTTGATTATAAAATAATGTACTGGGTATAATTGAACATTTTTCTTTACAATATAAATTTTAACTATCTAAAAATTAAACTGTTTTTACCTGGTGACACATTTTTGGTTTGAGTTTTCGTCGATAGACTAAAGAGTGGCATCTTATTGGATACTTAATTATTTTGCGGAGTTTCCACAAATTTTTCTACACTTTGGACAGATTTTAAAGAGTTGAATATCATAGTCCGAAAATAAATCTAATTTTATAAAGAAATCAGAAAATACGCATTCTTAAGTTTAAAAATCATTGATGTCAAAGTCTTACATGGGCGATTGCATTATAAATTATCTTTAAATAACACAATGATTTTATAATCAAGATGCAGCTATTGTATTGTAAATTCAACTTTAAACGGAGAAATGTGATTATTAAAACATTTGAAAACCATAATATACGTGCTCTAAGTTTATCAAATTGAGGATTTCATCTTTTACCGTATTATTAACTTCGCGTGTATTATAATAATGAACTTCAAAGTTTTTTTCGTGGTTCGATTGGTCAGGTGTAAAGTATATACAGAAGAAAACATTTTTACACTGTTGTACGTCGGTAGTGCCCTGATGTAGACACGAAAGGTAATGCACAAATTAAATAACGTTTTTAGACGACGAGTTCGTCGTTTTTAGCTTTTCTCGAGTCCTCCCATTGGATACGCTGGTCAGCCCCAATCCCTCCAATTAGTGAACTACTAAAGGGGTAGAGTTTAGACCCGTAAGCACGATCTAGCTCAAAAGTAGCAGATTGAGGGGTGACTCCTTGTCAGCCACCAGCACAACTACCTTTTCACTATATCTACTAAAGGTCCAAAAACTAGCCAGCACACACACAAATTTTTATGATTGACTAAAGGACCAGTAGTCCAACCTCGACTCTTGACGCACACACACAAATTTTAATAACACGACGATTGTAAAGTATTTACTCTCGAGTACAGGTTTTTAAATAATTATTTTATTTATATAAAGTAAAAACACAAAGTCAAAATATAATATAAAAATATAACACAGAATTAATTAAGTCGTACAAAAACAAAGTTACTCGCACACTAACGACCTAACCCGTAACTCGTTGTTTCTTCGACAAAACGTCCAGTCCTCTATCCTTTTCATGTTTCCTTTTATATTCTTTTTCCCACCATTATTAATTTGCTTACCCTGCATTTCCCTTCTACATGACATTATTGCATTGCTTGAGAATTTAAAAATTGCTTACTACTGTTTTAAACCTCGTATCATACTAAAATCGACGTTATTCAGCCATTTACTACAACACATTTTCTTTAATTGATGCTTACTATATTTCCTTATAGTATTCATTTTATCAGGTACTAAAGTTCGTAAAAAGAATTAAGCTACAAAATTTTAGTTTTAATTTTCAATTACTTACATTTTTTCAAAGATAATATTTTTACACGAGTCCAAGTTTTTTCACTAACCCGAATAATATTTTGCTTTTAGTTAAAGATTGTAAACAAAGATTCGACCTATTATACGTTTAAAGACAAAGAACTAATCATTTACTAAATAGATTTTTTCTTAGAGAAATTTTTATTTTTTAATAACAAATGAACTATTTTTAAACAAATACATTTTTTAATTTTAACGTGTAAGCTTTTTAACATAAAGACAAAAGTTGTTAACTTTTAGAATAACGCACAATGTAGTAAAACGAAGTAATGAAGCTTTATGAAATTGAACTGTTGAAATAATTATTTGTATTTAATTATATCAATTATTTACTCAACTATCTCCAAGGATTTAAATGTTTAATATTAATATAGTATATTCGTTAAAACTAAGTGAATATTATTTATATAATTAACTTAAAAAAATACATTATGTTATTATTATTACTATTAAAATAAAAGTATCAAAATACTAAATACGAATAATTTTTTAATTATTTAATTTTTTGACCCTTTCATTTAATATTTTTAGTAGAACTCTTTAAATTGGCATGTTGCACTGAATTTTTTATTTTGCAAAATAAAACTAAATATGAGATAATAAACCAAAAAATATTATGTCTCTTAATTTAGCATGTATAATAAACCTATAAGAATAAATACATACATTAGAGACTCCATCGGCAATAGGAGGTACGTAGTACAAATCTATCCCCGGAAGGTTAAAACATTTACCTATCATAACTATTTCATAACAAAGTTGTTTTAATTTTATATTTCCATTATTGTCTCTCTGTGCTCAGAGAAACTTGATTGTACGCCTGTAATTGATGTTTGATATGATTATAGAATATTGAGGACTACCAAAAATCAAATCTATTTGTTGTTTATTATAAACTTAAATACAGATAATAAATACAGAATAAATAAACTTAAAATTAACCAAAACAAAATTCACTTTTCAATTTCTAATTATTATTTAAATTGATGAAAACTACTAAATCTATAAGACCGTATAGAGACCAGCTATGATGTATGGTTCAGGGTGTTAAAACATTTTTTTTTAGATAAAATATTCATAGAAAAACTGATACAAATAGAAAATTAAATTAAAAATACAGCTGAAAGATTACATGTATAAAATTGGTAGTAACATTTGCATCAATTCATAATCATCACAACTTTGAGGATGAATAACATTTCGTGTTTCATCTAAAATAAAAAACATCTCATAACTTTATTAAACACAATTTTTTAACCATAATTTAATTTATAGTTTATTAAAAATTAAATATAGTACATATTAAGAATATCGACTTATTTTCAATTATTTTTGTTAAATTTATAAAAAGTTTTTATTTTGCAAAATTTAAATCAAATCTAAATAAAGTAAATGCTTATTTGTCAAATTGATATTTGATTCTAACTTAATAAAATTCATATTTAATTTAAATAAATCGATTTTCACTACAATTTACATTAATTTGTGGCACTTCACAATTATTGTTAAGAACAAGCATATCAACACATTTTGGCACTTAAAAATATTTTTAGTTTTAATTTAACATTCTAATTATTAAGACAATCGATTATGAGTGTCTTAATCCAAGAAAGTTTCATTGACTTTCATTAATTAATTAATTAAACATTTAAAAAAAAAATGATGGTTTAAAAAATTGATTTTGAACTATTTAAAATACCATTACACATTTTTAATTATATCTTATTAATTTTTTCTGAATGTATTTTTATAAGTTCTGCTTGAAGAATTTAAATACTTATTCCAAATATATTTTAAACTTATTTTTAATTATATTATTATATTAACTTATATTATTTTATTTGTAATTACTGTACATACCTAAGTCAATAAAATTATCAATAGGTCTTCTGCAAATTGGACAATTGAATTTTTTTTGTTTTAAAATTATAGAACAGGAGTTTCCAAATTGATGAGTGCATGGATCAAGAGTTACACTTGGCTTTTCGTCGAAACACAAAATACAGTTTTCAAAACTTTCTGTATAAATAATAGTACACTATTTAAAGGTTTTTATTCAACTTAAAATCTTTATACATTAGAAAATAAAGAAGTAATTCAGAAAAATATATTTTTAATATTATTTTTGAAAATAAAAATATATTCATACTTTGAGGCTTAAACAAAAAACTAACACGCCATTAAAATTAGCTGGCATATTTACCTATATCTACAAGTTTTTCTATTTTATTTTGGCATATTGGACAGTTAAAAGAATGACTAGGGATTCGATTTTTACATTCATGACCAATCTTATGACAACATGGAAATAAAATGACTGACATTTTTTCTTCGTGACAAAAAATACATTCTATTAATAAGTCAAACTAAAATTAAGTATTGATTAAATTAAAAAACTTCAAAAAATTATTAAATAAAAAATGCAGTGTACTGTAAGTAAGGGAACAGGTCATTTGTTACAAACAATGAGAACAATAAATCTACGTTTCCTTACTTACTTAACACTCTGTATATGTTTCCTATTGAATAAATATAGTTAAAAAAAACTAAAAAACACGGTTTTAAAGCACATTGAACTAAAAAGTTCAAAATAATTTTTAAAATAAGCTTAAAACAATATTGAACGAAAAGTACTAGAATTATTGTGATAAAAGCGTCGGGCGCTCAATATACGAAAAATATGACACAAAGCACCCACTCTTTTATCACAATAATACTAGTATTTTTTGTTCATAATTATTTTAAACTTATTTTCAAAATTATTTTTAACTTTTTAGTTTGATGTGCTTTAAAAGCGTGTTTTTTTAGTTTTTTTAAACTGTATTTATTTTTCACATTTTAGTTTCATGTTATGATAGTAGTTACTATCAATATCATGGTTGTAACGGGTAACGGGAAATCAGGCTTCGATTCTGGGAAGGGAGCTGAGAAACGGCTACCACATCCAAGGAAAGCAGCACACGTTCAGGTTAGCGTATTTATTGAGCTTTGGCCCCATACTGAAATCTTTATTGGGAAAAAACTCGCGTAATTATGCATCATTACTTTGTTTCCCAAAAATAACTGCTTATTAGTTGAGACATCAAAAATTTGGGGATAAAGGTTCATGACCAATATGTCAATAGAATTTATTAAACTTCTAAAAACCTTGGTACTTTAAATAAACACAAAAATGTTTAAATACAAAACTGAAAATGCAGTTATATAGAACTTAATTTTTTTTTATTCGAGTTGTTCTTATTTGTACAATAGAATTGTAGTAAAAACAAATATTCATTAATATGAATTATTTAGAAATTAATTCGATTTTATTGATTATTTTATTCGTATGTTAATATATTGAAGAAATTAAAAAAAACATTATAACGCTATATATATATATTATATATCTTTCTCAATTTATGAAACAAAGTATTTTTCATCTTTGATAAATTAAAAAAATCAAGAAACTAAGAGAAACCAAAAAATATTTTTTATCTTTTTTAATTATAGCAAAATGCTGTCATTGATGTAAACCAATAAAAAGAATTACTATTAAAATAAAACCTTAAGCATTTTATTTAACACAAAATATGTGTTCCCATTTAAAAAAAAATTTGACACCGTTACATGGTATAAGGGATGAACATAAAAAGTATTACATAGATAATAATTCAAGAATAATAACTAAGATAATCAAAAAAAAAAAATTCAAAAAATATTTTTTTTGTTAGTGTTTGAGTATTTATGATAAAAAAATCACTCTGTATATTATACAATATAATTTATTAAGTAATTAAATTATTTCTTTAATAGTCATAATAATTACTACTACTAAAATAATCATAATTATTAAAAAAATTAAAATAGACTGTTATTTAACTTTTAAAAGTTACTACAAAAGTCTACTCCTAGGGATAATTTTTTCTTACAATAAACTTGATATTTACAATGGTTCATAAAAATAAAATAAATTTTAATCTATAAAGTTTTAAAAAACAATTTAACGGNTCTATAAAGTTTTAAAAAACAATTTGACGGGGATGTAAGACACAGAATTAAGTGCGGGTGGTTGAAGTGGAGAGAAGCGTCTGGCGTCTTATGCGATAAAAGAATTCCAATGAGGCTGAAAGGTAAATTCTATAAGACTGTAATAAGGCCAGCTATGATGTATGGTTCAGAGTGTTGGGTGGTTGATAAGAGAGTAGAGCAGAGAATGAGTGTAGCAGAGATGAGAATGCTTAGATGGATGAGTGGAGTGATAAAAAAAGATAGAATAAGGGACGAGCATATAAGAGGGAGTATAGGTGTAGCGTCAATCATGAAAAGATGAGAGAAAATAGACTTAGATGGTTTGGTCATATTATGAGGCATAAGGTGGTTCAAATATCTTTTTAATAAAATCCTATTAGAAGGGAAAATGCTAAAAGAATGGAGAAATAATATTGCGGTGACAATATTTAAAAGTAAAGAAGACATATAGAAATGTAGAAATTATAGAGGTTTAAAGCTTATTAGTCATATTAGGAAAAATTGGGAAAAGATAATAGAATAGAGACAAAGAAGAACACTAGATGGGTGAAATGAGATCAGGAACGATGTGATAGGAGAGATGGAAAATTTTAAGTATTTAGGATAAGGAACGAGCATATAAGAGGGAGGGAGTATAGGTGTAGGATCAATCATGAAAAGATGAGAGAAAATAGACTTAGATGGTTTGGTCATGTTATGAGGAGAGAGGAATCGAAAGCCGTAAGAACAATTATAGAAATGAATGTTGAATGAAGAAGAGGTAGAGGAAGACCACAAAAGAGATGGAGGGATGTTATTGAATGCGATATGAGGACGGCTGATGTAAGCGTAGATAATGTGGGAGATCATGTCAAGTGGAAGTTTGGGATAAGAGTGGCTGACCCCAAGTAGTTGGGATTAAGGCAAGGAAGAAAAAGAAGAGATATTTTTATCAAAAAACATTATTTAACGAAAAATGAGCTATAGTATATCTCGATTACTCGCAATATAAATACAATATTAGAAAAATAATTTTTTACTTCTCTAGTTACATATCATTCTTGATTTGTCAGCTAATAATTACTTTTTAGAATCATCTTTATAATTTCATATTTGAATATTTACGTATTTACCTATATTATAGCTACTATCAATTTTAATTTTACATTTCGGACAAAGTTGATTTTTATTCATCACTTGAGTAAAGCAGGAACTACCAATTTCATGGTGACAAGGTTTAATAAGCCATGATTGATGCTCTGAATTGCAAAATATACATGCTTCATAATCAGCTGTAATATATAATACTTTATTTATTTAAATTATTTCATATTTTGTGTCTGCTACTATTTTTTCTTAGTTTTCGCTTGACCGATTTTGCTTAACAAATAACCCATGGATTACAAATCATATCTAGTTGAAGATATTAATCTTTAACATTAAAACATTTTCGTTTTTTTTATAAATAAGAGAATTCATCATAAATTTTTTAATTAACCCCTAATATTTATTTATAGGAATAATTTTTCTTAAAATACATTTAAGATTTACGATGTTTTATAAAAACGCAGCACAGTAGAGTCATGGGACAGCGAAGACGTGGCATAGTTGAAACTAGAATAAGCGATATCTGTCAGTGATTAAAATCACTATCCTAAAAAACACTGTTTATTTTAAAAAAGTGCCGTCTATAGTTCATACTTCAAATCACCATAACTTATTGAAAAACATTAATCAATCAATACATTCTTTTTGCAAATGTTAAAAATTTATTCTTTTAATCCGACATAATTTTTTTAAATCGAACTAAAGATTTTATACCCATTATACAGGGAAGCTCAAAACTTTAGAATTTTATGTATAGAAAGTAGAACATTTTCAACTTAAAATTTGAAAATGCTCCAAAAATACTTAGGACATTCCGAACGAGGGAAATTTTTCAATTTCTTAGATCAATGTGTTCAACAGGGTACGATTTGTCGGAGAGAGCTGAGAAAAAGTGACGTCCGACACAAAGGCACACAATAAATACATATAGTAAAATTAATGACTTCTCAGATTCGCATCGAACCTAAAATAAATCAGATAACAATTTTTAGTAAAAAGGTACATATTAAAATTTTAAGTTTTAAAAATTTGGGATAGTATAATTAATAAAGAACACTCTATATTTGGACGGTTTAAAAACTTAACCTTAAAAATTGAATCACAGTACTCTTTAATTTTTTTATTTAAAATAAAAAACTTATATTGTGAATATATGGATTCGATAAACAAAATCCCACATGTCACGCATTGGGTTGAAGTTTGGCAAAGAAGGTCGTTGTTATTACAGTCTTATGTGTTTATTTCAAATACCATACATTTAGTGTATACTCATATAGGATAAAATTTATTTAATTTTTCATAAATTTATTATTACTCTAATCATTTTGAAAAGGTGTAACTTATTTTTTAAATTCTGAAAAATTGACATAATTAAATTACTTAACATATATACGCCAAATTGCATAGAATAACAGTCATTTTATTGCTTACAGTTTTTATATATATTCTTTATTGAAAATTCTAAGCTGATACCTAATTTGTTCTCAACAATTTTCACATCTAGTTTTTGAGATAGTTACTAATTAGTAATTAAGTAAAATCATTGCTTAAGTAAATGTAAATGTAAGTAAAGCACAGTAAAATCATTGCGAAAAATATAATTATTTTTTAACTTTCCTGTAATGATTTCATGATTAATAAAAGTTTTGAAAATGTTCAGATTGCTCTATTAGGTTTAATTATATTTTTGAATTTTTAAAATTTAATATGTGTGTCATTCTTCAAAAAAAAAGCTAAACCTTTGAGTATACTATTTAACTGACAACTTATAAATCATTTTATTTAAAAAATATTTATTTTTAGATTATCTAATAATAGCTATTTATCGACAGATATAAATTTTAATGATGTTTCCAGAGAATATTTATAAACGGCGACTCAAGAGACATGTGCTCATCCTTCCTTGCAAATCAGATGACAAATAATAATTTATTGAAAGTAATGATACGTTTTTTTTCCTCGTCATTATCATAAATACATACTTTTTTTATGATTTTATTAATTAATTATTTTTCTATGATTAATAAATGCAATAAAAGTAGTTATAGGAAGTATTTAATTGGCATATAGGACAAAAGTAAGTAAAGAATAGGTTTTTACCATTCCAATTGTTTGTTATAATCGACCTATTTCTTGAACAATCTTTTAAGACGTATTCATTTTTTAATTTTTAATATTAAAAATTAAAAAATTGGATTTGTACATTAATAAATTTATTAAAAACAGGTCTAATAGCTGACTGTAGTTATTCAAATACTTAATAATTCGGTAATTTAACGTGTATAATGTATTAATCAAATATTAAAGCTTTTACAGCAGATCACATGTAAGCCTTTTTTTTTTTTATAAAAGTACATATAAATAAATTCATTGTATTAGGATTAAAATTTTATTTAAAAATACAATTTAAAACGTGGTTTAGATTTTAGTTTTTAGGAAAAATTTGTGTTTTAAATTATACACTAACTGAAATTATAATTAACTAACGAAGATCAAAATTATCAAACTTTTTTTATTTCTTTAGTAGTGATATCGAACTGTATAGTATTAGACAATTTATGTACAATGATGTTCAATTTTTTTTGTTAAATTGGCTATATTTGAACAGTTTGTATGTTAAGTTTAATTGGGTTGAGTATAAAATTATATTTTCAACAAATCATCTATTTGTCTCCAGCGTTGCTTACATTTTTAATACCCTTTTGCCAAAGAGGTAACTAAATATACAACAATTTTATATTTCTCCATAAAAATTACAATACTAATTTATTGAATATCAATTTGATACTAAATTTAATTACTATAACAAGTATTTATTAATTTATTATAAAACATAATCATAAAACATGTAATCACAATATAATTTAAAGAAATAGAAATTTCATTATGCTTTAGTAATAATCCTAATTTTTTTCTCAAAATTAAACACAACCTACAGATTTATTATTTAGATGTTAGTGATTTTTATCACTATCAGATATCATGTATACTTGTCCTAACTAAGCTGAATCTACTGTGGTATCGTTTTTTATATTTTATGGTTAAATATTAAATATATTAATTATTTTGTATTTTATATTTTTTTACATTTATTCTAGATGCATTTTATTACTAACCAGTCACGATTATAAAAAAAACTATGGTTATAAATGAAAGTCCCAACATTTTCTGTAACAAATTAACATTTTATATAATATTTTATTTAAAAATTATAAATGTCTACACATATTTTTCTTGTAATATACAAACATTTATCAAAACAACTTGTAGACGATTTTTGTGAATTTTTTAATAGTCCATAATTGTGTAAAAAAGCTTATCAAATATACATTATTTAGACAAATTTAGAACAAAAGTATAAGTTATTTCCAGTTTCAAAACAAATTTTAGGAGAAAGTTGAAGGCATAACAATGGGAAATGTGTTATTATTGTTTTTAGAATTTTTAAGTAATTTCGAAACAAATTTAAAAAACACTTATGGCGGATTTTCCGAATTTTGGGTTAGGTATGCAAATTATATTTTTGCAATTATAAACAAAGATTTTAATACGGAGGTTTAATTCGCAGAACATTTAAATTCATTTTACGAATCAATTAAAATCACGTACAAACGGGAAGTAATTTTAAATTGTTATTTTTAATTAAAAAAATGAATATATATTTGTGTGGATTTTAAGGTATATTATAAAAAAATTACGATTTAAAATCGTTTTTATACTAATAGTCATATTTTTATTTTATTGTCATTTAGATCGTGAGACTAATATAATTTTAACTAACTTGTATTTATAAAAACTATATTTNATTTAGATCGTGAGACTAATATAATTTTAACTAACTTGTATTTATAAAAACTATATTTTTCAGTCTGATAACTATAATAAACTATTTTTTTGATAACATATTTTCAGATATTAAAAAAATGTTATTATCTTTTATTTAATTTAAAAAATTTTTTTCTATTTGGGAATTTATGAGTTTAATTATATTAGCTGATAGAAAATGACTTTTTTGAAGTGTAAAACAAACCTTCCCCTTTAAATTTTTTCATCATTTTTTTTACATAAAAGAAAATATCTTACAAAAAATATTAAGAACCCATTTTGCGATTTATCAAATTTTAGAAATAAGCATCATAATTTAAAGCTCTAAGATCATTTGAGAAATAATTTTTGAGTTTTAATGAATATTTAAATATGCGATTATATTTTTTCAGCAAATTAGTTATCATCCCTATAAAAACTAAGGATAGAATTGAAATTACTGAAAAAAATTTATTAGGAACTTTTTAAATATTACATTGTACAAGTCTACCAAAATTTTAGAATGTATGATTTATAAGTACAAATTTTTTTAAAACCTACTCGAATTAGATTTATAAATATGAAATAAAGAATATTATGTAATATTAAATATATGTAATGATGTCATTATTGATTCATTCGACATTCTATAGTCATAGTAAGTCTTATTTGCCTTAAATGCAATGGTAGATATAAAAAACCAAGCGATTTCATTATTTAAAATTTAGATTTAAAATTTGGAAAATTTGCTAAATATATAGAAATTTCTTGTTTGATAAATGTACTCATGACTAATTAAATATATGATATTTACTATAATTTTCGGAAAATTTAACACTAAATATTGGTAACAACAAAAATATACAATCTAAAATAAAGTTATACAATTTTTATTAGTATTTTATTTTATTGAAGTATGATTTAGTACATTATTCATAATTTAGAAAACTTGCATCATAATTCAATTTTTAATTACTTGTGCTTGGGTCTAAAAAAATGATTTAATAATAGTAATTGACCAAAAATGTAGTGAAATATAATATTTAGACGATGCTCGTATAAAATGGCACAAGTCTATATAAGATAGAAATCTTATAAAAAGACGCAACAAATAAAGAATTCAAATGTTTTATTTAATTTGCGAAAAAGAAAAATATCCTTAGATTAATTCAATAAGAGTATACTTTTTTTGCTCTTCTAGAAAATCATACTAAAAAAATCCTGATAAAATCAGTTAATTTATCATTAATATTTAGCCGACAATATTTTTATATTGATTAATCAAATATTTTTGTTATGAGAATAAAAAAATCATCATTTTGTTGGATTATCAGTTTGATTGATTTAAACCAACCCATACAAGTATCCTATTGTGATTTATAATAGTAGATCGCCTAAAGTGAAAACTGAATATATCAAAATCCACTATTCTTGGTGATTTATAATTGTTTGAGAAATTTTACGTTTTACGAATATTTAAAGATTATACCCAATCACTCACAAAAAATCAAATTTATTAATTAAATGATTTCACTTAATAGATAGTCTCTTGCTAAAAAAAAAGTTTTACCTATAAAGTTAAACACTTTATTAACTCAAACCATGAGGTCTCTCAATCATTATAAAAATCCTTTCAAAGTATTAATGCAAAATTAAAATGTAACAACATATTTTGTAGTAATAATAAAATATGGTTATTATGAAAAAGATTAAGATAAAAATTTTTTTGATGTTTATAGAAAATTCTAACACCATTTTCAACAAACTGTAGCCAATTTCCAAAACGCAATTACTATAAATTGAAAATTAATTAATTATCACTTACCATGATAGCTTCTATTTCAAAAATTATTTTTTTTTAAAATGAAATTATATACTACGGTTACAGAGTATTTGTTTTATACAGTTTATTTTCATTAAAAGACGATTATGAATAAAACTATTAGCTTATTGATGTCATTTTTCAAAAATAATAGTTATATATTATATTATATATTAATTTATACATAAACAGGTGTCCTATCATGTTATAACAAATCCTATAACTTTTTATTTACTTTTCAATACTTAGAAAAAAAAATCTAGTTTAAACTTAGAACTATAATAATATGATAAAAAATAATTCAGATAGCCATTTTATAGAGATCATTATAAGAAATAAAATACCATTAAAATATTGTCGACTATATATTATTTTTTGCAGTTCAATGTTTATAAATTAAGACCTTTTATATTCGCATCGACCATTTCATATTTTTTATTTGAGAATAATCAAGTTTTCCCTAATAAATAAAATATGTTCAATATTAAATAATTACCTATAGGATCAAACCTAGTTATAGAATGGGAACATTTTGGACATTCAAAATTATACTGGCGTATTGTTTCATAACAACTTTCACACAAACGATGACGACAAGGTCTTATTTTAACAACACATATTTCTCCATAGCACGACTGGCAAATATCTGTAAGTTCTAATCTGTTACAATTGATATTAAAAACATTCTGGGACTAAAGTATCTTTTTTTAATACAAGTAGGATTTATAAACACCAAAGTTTTATTTTAGAAACAAGAAATATTCACCTTGCGGATCTCCATTATCTTGCACTAATGCTTCTTTACGTGTTAAATCAACTAGAAATAATTTGAATAAAAATGTTTCGATTAATCAATTTCGATAATACTTACAAAAAAAAAAAAAAAAATCAAAAAAAACCCAAATAATATTA